CATACATTTAATACAATTAGAAAAATGCCATTACAAAGGTAAAAAGAAAATGCCTCTGTAAATCACTTTGAGTCAAATGTCACCTCATATTAGGAAGGCTAATTTCTGATCAGAATTTTTTATTATTGATCAGACGGTGCTCCTAAATGTTTTTAATTATGAGGACAAGCGCTCCTAATTGCAAGAAAAAAACTGCTCTTAAACTGGGTGTGTGACAGGTATGGCTGTGGAATGGGGTTTGGCTGAGGAAAATTTTTCAGTCAAAATATTTTTTTTTGCTTTAACCCCTGCATCCAGCCCCGGGAATGCATAGCCGTCATCTCTGGATCTGATTTGAGCAACGCCACTCTCCCCGAAGGGGGCAACGCAGCCAAGTTGTCATCCCCGGAGAGAGAGCTCACCCTCTGATGCAGCGATCAACATCTGGTCTTCAGGGGGAGCACCGAAGGATACGGGCGGTACACTCTGTCCTGCAGAGGGCCCAGCGCACACCTCCGGCAGCTCCACCGGCTGCAGAGTGCTTGAGGGGTGAGGAACTTCCTCTGGAGAAGTCCTCACCATGATCCTCAAATCACCTCTGACTCCACCATAAGCAGCGATGCCCCAGGTGCCGGGACGAACGCTGGCTTTTATGCAACTCTGAGATTGTCATGTCCCCACACAGAGAGCATGCACCATCCATAAAAACTTCCTCAGCATGCTTAATGCCCAGAAACGTGAGGCAGTGATCGTGACCATCCTGAGGCGCCAGGTAATGACCACATCCAAAAACGCACAGGTGATAAGACATCTTTAAAAAGATGCGATCACTCTTCTTTTAGGGATTGCTCTTTTAGTGCAGAAGCTCACAGGGGAGCTGGCCACCGCACACTCATTTACAAACTGTGCTTTGTGTTCACTCAGGTTGGCTTTGTTTTATGACAGGTTTTAATTTCTGAATTAAGTTATTATGAGATGTTCACAAAAACAGAAGATATCGGATGGCATCAAATACTTTTGCACTGCATTATATGATCATATCACTGTATCGTCTCCTCTTCTTCTTTCACTGTAATCTGGTGTTTTATGGATTTTTATGTTATTTAATTCTAGGAGGAGCTCAATACAGCACTGAAATCATTACAGAAGAAACTTAAACACAATGAAGAAATGAAAGAAGAGTTTGATGAAACAGTTCGACACATCAAGGTGAAGAAACAGAATCCAGAGTCATCTTCATCACAGCTGTAGATCACTAAATACAGTTATGATCTGATATATTTAATATAATGGACTCCAGCTGATTATTTGTGTAAATGACGAGCATCAATCTGCTTCTGGATGCGTTATATGTCTGTATCTGAGTTTCTCTCAGGTCTGAATGATGTGATTGTGTTGATGTGTGTCGA